GAGGTGACTCTCCCATGACCGTCTGGTTTTCTCAGAAACCCACTCTTAAGTTTTATCAATCCATCGTCAAATTCCTTACGTAATTTACGAAGTTTGTTTTCATTACCTGGAAAAGGAAAGTACCCTGCATCTGGCAATTTAATCTGTCTTGATTCTGACGAAGCGATCGCTCTGATCAAGTGTCGAATAAGTGCTAATCCACTAGATGTTCGATCAGATGGATATTGAACAGGTCTTGAAATCAAGGAAGTATCTGGAAATATTTCAGTGAATATATTTTCTAGATTTTCTAGATTGAAAGTAGAATCCATTACTGGATCATTAAATTCGGCGCATTCAATGTTTTGGTTCGTGTTAAATTTGATTACCAATCCAGTCCAATGAGAATTAGCCAAAAGATAAGGAATGACTGTTATTCTTTTCCCAGTGATATTTCTCTTTGCTTCCCTTAATCTTTCTTGCAATTGACCATCAACATCATCATGAACAGTTGCTAAAACATAAAATCGTGTCGAAATATGTACTCGATAATCGTGTATGAAGTTTTTTAATTGAGTCTCTAGAATTGATCGAACATCTATATTTTCGGATGAATGATCGGGAAGATTCGTACGAGCAGCCATTATTCAAAATGAGATATCTAGTAAGAAGGCAGTGAATATTCTTATTTTATCTAAAATGAAAAGACGAATTGACCTTAGCAACAGCATCGTTTTTATAATTGAGAGAGAAAAATACTTAGTTCCTTTTTTTGTTTTTAATATTTATCGAAAGTCGAAGAAAGTAAAAATAAGTGTAAAGAGACTGAAAGAAGTCCTTGAACTTTTCGAGGTTTATTGGGACTTAAAGAAATATCACACTTAGCAGCGACAGATGAAGAATAATAAAAACAAGTGACCGATATAAAGAATATATCTTGAAAAAATTGATAAACGTTTCTCGATAATGAAAAAAACTTCTGCTGGACAAAAAGTATAATCTCAAAGCTATGTTGATGATAAAGTAATTCAGATGAAAGTTCCAAGGTCGTGGGAATAAACTGTTTTAAATAGTTCTCAATAAGAATAATCGATTGTGTCTTATTACCTGGAACCTTCGGTAAAATCCACTGTCGCCGAAAGAAATTTGCCGAATGAATCTCTCACCGAAAGCCCATACAAACTGCATATAATTGGTCTTAAAGGTAACAATTGTGTTTTGAATGATTAGTCTATGATACCAAATCAGTTGATCTCTAAGCGGAACGACCTTCAAGCTAGACGGTTACCAACTGATATGGTTACCAACTCAGTTGACTGCCAACTGACATGGTTACCAACTGGCATGGTTGCCAACTCATATGGATGGGTATGGATGTGAGTGAGGGTCTGAGTATGGGTGAGGGTCTATGTGTGGGTTTGGATGTGAATGAGGGTCTGAGTATGGGTGAGTGTCTATGTGTCGGTGTGGATGTG